CACCTGAACACTTTATTGAGAAACTAAGCAAACAGGAGTGGATGGAATCAAGGAGATCCGCATACTTTCGATGAAAACCTCACGTCTCTAGCCAAACGTTACTGTCCTCCCTCAAGCAAGTCAGTTAGAGATATGCCCTTCATGTGCCTCCTCTATGACTTTTCAGGACCTCAGGCTACCCCCATACCACTTCGCAGGACCCCTGGTAAAAAGAAACACCTTGAGGAGAGGTTATGGCAGGTATTTAAGCTAGCATAGATGCAGCTACAACAGTGAGCTTTGGCAAACTTTGTTGTGTTGTAATGTCTTCTAGTGCGCCTTCCAGTTTCTCTGAGGTTTCAGATCTCTTCATCCTTTCATTTGGCCCCTCACACAGTTTTCACCCCAGCAACACCTTTCCATGTTAATTTTACTCCACAAACTTCCTTTTTCGCACCGGTATCCCATTTTACGTCGACCAGGCCTCTCAAGCCTTTCCGTGTAGCATGGCATCTCCCTACCTATATTATGTTTATGAATTTATGTAATAAATGATTATTTTTCAACTATTATTATGAATGATTTGTTTCCTCAATTAATTGCGTTTTACCTGATTAACAGAGAAGTCTGGGTGGTGTTGTGACCCCTAAGCCGTCAGCCTTAATGAGGTCACTTCGCACATAGGGTGCGAAAATTTGGCTCGTACCATTGTTTACCCACCCGTGAAGTTTCAGTGGCAGTGGCTTATCAACGGAGTGATAAGGCGCCGAAATCCACTTCCGTTCAGCAAAAACCAAGACTTATCGATGTGGAAAGGGGTGCGATAAGAGCGTGCTAGATATGATACCGTTATCGTTATCGTCCCGTTTTCATTCTGGAGTGCACCTCTTATCAAGCAGCCGCACCTTCTTATCTCATCGTATCATATCTTCCATGGGCTTACACTCGTCCAACAATTACTGCCTCACACCTTATCGATTGATAACGCGAGGGTAGCAAATCCAGCGTGGAAGCCAGCGTGACCGCTTCCTTTAAGCTTATTTTTCACGAAGCTTAGCAAGTAGCCTATGACTAACTCGTCTCACACATGCGTTAATTCACAACAGGCAATCTAAAGTGGTCCTTGAATTCCTTTTTGTTTCTCTAAATCCGTTCTCTCCGAGAAATCAGTGGATTCGCTCTAGACTCAGGCTACCGTTTGCTGCTAGCTAACCAGGAAAGGATGGTCGAAGTGGTCGTTTGAAATAAGATGCATACTTTCTGTCGTATCTAAAACGCTGATTTGAAATCTGTCTTTCCAAATCTGCTGAGCGATGCTGTGAACAAAATTGCAAAGAATTTTCTCAGAAAAAGAAGCTATGACCTAACGTTGCAGAGACCAATTTGCAGGTCCGACGCTCTGAACGGGGCCCGCTCGCTTAGTTTCCCTTGCTTTTTATGTAGCACAAATAAAAAAACTAACTTTAAAAATCCTAAGCTTAATTGTTGTCTTCCACGAATATTTCATTTCAATGTTCTGACTATGGCAATGCATCATTCTAGAGAACGAATCTGACGCAAGAACGAGGCGTTTTTATGCCTGGAGAGTCTGACCATTGCCTCCAGAAAGTCAAACTACCCCTTCACCAAATTTCTAGCCAAATCGAAAATTTGGCTCTTACATCGTAAAAGTGGGGGTATCCATGGGTAACACAGACAGTTAAAGGAATCTTGCGCGGAAAATTCTTGCACTCTTTCCTAACATGAATATGTCAGTTGTGATCACTGGAAATAGCACACAAAGTTTCACGCATGAAGATTCGGTTTCTGAAGAGAAACAAACGTACAAAAACTACACGTTATGGACCATCGAAGGACCAGGAGGCAGAGCCAGGCGAGGCATGGAAAGAAGACGGCGTTTGGCCGGCTACGTACCAGGCGACGCAATGAGAGAATCGGGTTAAAGCGCGCGATTTCGGAGAGTGGAGACAAATCGATCGATGGAATAGGATGGAGTAGAAGTGTAAGATGTGAATGCAACGAAAGAAGGCCAGAAAGAGCTTCTAGTGAATGCACTCCAAGAACCAAGTTTGAGCATCCCCGTCGCCAGCATTTGTGAAAGACGAACGTGCGCAATTCGAACGCGTAGCAAGTACGCGTAGCCTTTTCGATTTTTCGAATTT